TTTTATTAATATCTTAGGTAGAATATTTATTAGCTTTATTTAACTAGTGCCTTTACTTTATTTATTAGCTTAGTAAAACTACTATTAATTATCTATATTAGTATATTTTAGATTTATAAATTATCTTATAAGTTAAATAATTTATTTTATATACTTATAATTAAAAAAGGGAAATATAAAATAAAAAAAGAGGTTAAAAATAGAAAAAGAATATATATATACTTAATAAATCTTAGTGTATTCTTACTACTTTAAGAGAGGCTTTTAAGGTCTATCTTATCTCTATAAATTAGTCTATAAGAGTATATAGCTACTATATCTTTTACTAGTTCTACTATTAATTAAGTAAAAGTATTACTAAATATTAATAATATATTATATTTATATTTTTATTAACTATAAATTTATTATAACTATATAGGAGAGCCTATCTATAGTCTAGTATAAAATACCTATACTAAAGAAGTAGATCTACCTCTAGGCACTATTAAGAAAAGGCAAGGCATCTAGGCTACCTAACAAAGAAAAAGAGGAATAGTAAAACATAGGAAAACTACCTACACTACAACAATGTCTAATAATAATAATATATATATTAATTAATAGGTCTTATAATTCTTAGACCTAATCTATAAAGATACTAAGATAAAAGTATAAATTAATAGAGTAATTATAAAAAAAGTAAATTTCCTTAAATAAATAAAAGTATAGTAATAACTATTAGTGTATTTCTATATAAAGTATTAAGGCTAATAATAATAACTATATATAAATAATTATATATATTCTAATCTCTTCTTAGGTCTATAAATCCCTTTTTTAATAGGTAGGTAGCTTTCTTATTAATTTATCTCTTAAATTAACTACTATATAATTCTTGTAACTATACTACCTAACCCTACTACACTACTAGTAAGATTTTTACCTTCTTTAACTACTACTATAGAAAGTAAATTATCTATAATTTTACTTTATATAAGTATCTTATTTTTTACTTACTACTAAGTAACTATAACTACTAGGCCTAGTAGTAAGGTTTTTAAAGTTACCTTATAGTAAAGTATTATATTTTATTAACTTTTAAGGTTACTAGTAAGTAACTTATAGTAGACTTTATTAATAACTAAACACTAGTTAGTATTATTATTTACCTTATTACTATTATAGTAACTTACTTAATTTATATACTAATAATACTTTATTAGATTTTACTATAGGTCTTTCTTTATATCTTTCTCTTAGTTAATTTTATCCTTTATTAAACTTATTACTGTTTTTTTTATTAATTTTATATATAATAGCTAGCTACTATAGTTAGGTTACTTACTATAGTTAGGTTACTTACTATAGTTAAAATACTTACTATAGTTAAAGTGCTTACTATAGTTAAAGTACTTACTATAGTTAGGTTATTTACTTATTAACTTTATAACTAATTATAGTATACTAAATACTAATATAGATAAACTAGTAAAGTATATAAGCTTTATACTAAAGAAGATATCTTAAGTCTAGTAGTCTAGGTTACTTAGTTAAAAGCTAAGTTTAGCCTATAGTAAGGCTAGTTACTTACTACCTACTTTACTAAAGTTATTACTATAGTAAGTATTATTTTTTACCTTTATAGTTTTCTTTTTTTTACTAAACTTAATAGTTATCTATAACTTTAATAGTAAGTATTACTTACTAAGTTACCTTTAAAGGCGCTTTTTTATTTTCTTTAAGATCTACTTTTTTTAGTTTAACTTAATTATTATACCTACTAATACTTAACTTATTAACTATTATACTATTTAAAAAGGCTAGACTTATAGTACTATAACGCTATTAAACTAAAGACTAAAAGTAAAATAGATTATTACCTTAGTTAGTAGTAGTAGTAGTAAAAAGGTAGCTATAGTAGTAGTTACCTTTTATTACTACTATAATAGTAATAAAGTTTATAATAGTATTTTAAAGAAGTTAAAAGTAAAAAGTACTTATTATATAGGCTTTTTATTATTATTAGTAAGCTTACTACTATTACTATTATTATTATTATTATTATTATTATTATTATTATTATTATTATTATTATTATTATTATTATTAACTTCTTTTTTATTAATAGTTACTTTTACTAACTTCCTTAGTGTCTTAAAGGTTATTATTAATTTTTTTACTACTACTATAGTAACTACTAGCTTTTATAGTATCTTAATAACTATTATTAACTTTATTATTACTACTATAGGGCACTTAATAATTATATATAATAATAATCCTTTATAGGTAGCCTTATAGGCTTAAGTGCTATTAGCTAGTAGTACTAGTAATACCTTTATACTACTAGGGGTAGTATTCCCCTTCTTCTTTAGCGCTATTATTAAACAGTAATAGTAATAAGCTTATTAATTAAAGCTATTTACACTATAGTATCTATATAATATAAAATAATTCAAAAGTATATAGCCACTTAGCAGGGTAACCCCCCTGCGTAACCCTAACTAGGGTAGTTATTATAATAGTGTTGCTAACGCACAGACTAAAAAGTAGGTTTTGGACGCTGCTAACGCAACAGACTGTACCTGAAGTACGTCAGCAGGGTTCAACATGCCAGCTTTTGCTTCAACTGCTTAAAGACAGAAGAAACAAAAGACCAGGGGCGCACCAGGGAAATATCTGGCACGACCCGGGACTACGGGAAGAGAGAGAAGAAAAGTGGAGAGGGAGGCAAGGCATTGATTTTCTTGGATCATGATATTGTCGTCTCGCGGCTCTGGTCTGTAAAGTCTTGGGGCGGCGGCGGCGGCGGACATGGATGGACATGTGACGCGCAAATCCTCGGTTGGGGGCTGTGCCACCTCTTTTACTTTCTGAATTCAGGGCGCCCAAGACATTCCAAGACGGAGTTAAAAAGACAGTTTGGAGTACAGTACTCCGTCTCAATCAAAACGCGGATTAGGCAGACCGAACTGAAGCACCAGGCAACCCGACTCAAGGGAGTGGGTAAATATTTCTTGGATGTTCTTGGCTGTCCAGGAACCGTCCAATGACGCGACGCCAGTGAAGCTATGCACGTTGCCAGTGGCGCGGCATACTGCATGCAGCACACTTACACACGCATCATCTGTTTGAAGGGGGGGGGGAGGGGGTGGCCCCTGGCGCACTTGTGCTCAACTTTGCGTTTTTATCTTTTGACTCCATGTTTACGTCCCTACCCAAGGTACTTACTACTTGCATGACCCGAAACTTTGGGAAGCATGTAGTCGAACTTTCTCCCTTCTCGTCTTTTCCGACGACTTCTCTCGCGAGTTTCACAGGTCTTTGTTGCCCGTGAAGGTAGCTGTAGTTGTCGACATTGCGAATAGCTTCAGACCCGCTACTAGCATCGACAACGATATCGAAGCGGCCCTTTCATCACGATCCACTACAGGCCCTAGCACCAATCGCTTTTCGCCACAGACTCCAGCTCGTGATTGCATCACATGGTGGTCAGTCAGCACCATCGCCAGTCTACGCCCGTTGCCCACGTAACACATTCTCCCTGGCAAACACGGCTTTTCTAATCCGTCAAACGAAACCCCGACCAACGCCACGAACCGAGCCGAGCTTAGTGACGACTCCCGGAATCTCGGGCATAGCCTTGCGCCTGTGTTGTTCGCCATTTAGCTCATCTCTAGACGCAGCATTGGACCCAACCTCTCCGGCATCTCCAATCACCGGTGGCATGAGGCCCGCCATAACCTCATGACGCCCTCGTTACACCACCACCACCAGCAATCCCGCCCACACACCAATTCTGAACCCGCCAGCCATGATTCTCCCCTCACCGCGCATCAAGCGCCTGCTTATCCTCGTATTCTTCTCCTTCCTGATCGGCAACGCCCTGCTGTACCTGCTCCTGCCGTACGACAACCCGCTCGTCCTGGCCTTCCGCTTCAACTTTTCGGGATTGCAGCTCTGGTTTCGCGGGTCGGGCGCCGAGAAGGACGCCTGGCTGTACGAGCCGGCCAAGTACCCCATCGAGTACGATACAGACGTGGGGCTGCTGATCAAAACCGGCTACGGCACCCGGCACCGCCTTGCGGCGCAGCTCGAGGCGTTGGGCCTGACGGCGGAAGACGCCAGCTCCTTCGTCGTCGTGGGCGACTGGACGCCGCGTGGTGGCGGCAAGATGGCGGGCGTCGACGTCCACGACGCCATCGGCGGGGTCATGGCCATGCCCGAGATGAGATCCCACCACGATGCGCCCAAGTTCAAGAAGTACTTGGCCCTCAAGGACGCCGTCCAGAATGGCGACGACGCCAAGGCGACGGAGGTCGGCAAGAGATTCGGGTGGGATCTTGATGCGCTCAAGGTACTTCAGTCCCTCGCTGCCAGTTTTGAGAAACGTCCACTAACATTGTCCGCAGTTCATCTGGGGCCTCGAGTACATTTACGACAACCTCCCGCCGAAGAAGTGGTACGTCATCCTTGACGACGACACCTACCTCGTCAGGTCGTCTCTGCGGCTCCTGCTGGCACACTGGGACTGGGATACGCCGCAGTACATCGGCAACGCCGTGGGCGACTTCAAGGGGCGCTTCGCGCACGGCGGGTCGGCGGTGGTCATCTCGCACGAGGCGGTTAGGCAGCTGCTCTCGCGGCGCGACATCGTGGCCGCGGTGCAGGAGCACTCGCTCGACGAGACGTGGGGCGACAAGCTGATCGCGACGGCGTTACAAAAGATTGGCGTCTACCTCAACGAGAGGTACAGCCACTACTTTAACGGCGAGAGGCCCAGCATCTCCAAGATCATGGCGGACAGGTTCTGCTCGCCGCTGGTCTCGTTCCACGGCGTGGCGGACCCGGAAGAGATGAACAGGACCGGGGCCGCGTTCAGGGACGAGAGGAGCCCCGTGTTCTGGGGACAGCTGTGGGAGATTTACGGCGCACCATCAATAGAGGACTTTAAGCGTTCTCCGATCCGGGCAGACCGGGATTTCGTGGGGAGGACGGACGAGCGGGCGAGAGTGCTGCCGGCGACGGAAAGCGGGGAGGCATGCCGGAAAGAATGCGGGGCTCTGGCGGACAAGTGTCTGGCGTGGACGTGGGTCGAGCATAGCAAAGAGTGCAGACTGAGCCCGTGGATGATACTGGGGGAGCCGGTCCAGGGCCACCACTCGGGCATTAATGTGGAAGAGGTCGAGAAGCTGCAGGCACTTTGCTGAGATTGTGAGGCGGGAAGCTGCCTAATGGAGAACATGACGATAACGACAAACTCCGTGGAAAATGGAAGAAAAAAAATTGGCGTTGAGACGGCAACAGGTCGGGGTTTTCAAGATACATCCGGAATGGGTTAAGGCAAATGGCGTTGATTACTTTTGTACACCGGGTTAGTCTTCTTGTCTCGCTAAACCAAACCCATTGCTTACTTTGAGGAAGAAGCTGTGCCTGCGACTCTGATGCCGCATGTTTGGAACCCCACGGGGATCATATCTCCCTGGCGCGCAGGCCGAAAGCTCGGGCGGGGCGCGGCTTAGGCCCGATGGAGGAACGAGCTTCGCAAAGGAAACAGGCGGCTAACTGGGTGTCGACTGGGTGTGGTTGCTTCATCTGATCTGTCGAAGCGGGCAACAGAGGAATCACCTTGTTGGAGGAGGGTGTGAGCCACACGTGGCGCGGCGTGGCACCCTGCACATATGGCTGATGACATGCGGCGGCGACTAGCCTCGACCCTAGTACAGGTAGGTATTACTCCGTACGCCACGTCCAAAACCCCCTCCTTCTCATCCGATGGCCATACCGCGATGACGATGACGTTTCGATTTGAATGCACACCTACTGCTAACTGACTAGTGAGTGCACACAAATACACGCACACGCACATACACAGCCACACTCTACATACCTAGTTCAAGCGCATCCCATTTATGCAGACACAGCTGGCGACATGACGGCGACGGGAATTGACGTCAACTGAAGCCGTGACCGTCCCCTCTCACTGCCCCTCCCCTTTCCTCGTCGTATAGACTGCAGTGTGTACCTAGACATCTCGGGTATCCCCAAAGGCCTTCCATACCTGCACAAGATCCACTGGCAAAATAAAGGCTGGATCGATAAAAGCATCCCACAAGAGCGGGCCACTGTCGGGTGGCCTCTCCAGCTGCTATCCCATCGCCCAGTCAACCCGGATGCGGATCTACATATGTACCTCATTTACCTCATTTCCCAGGTCCGCGTCACTACGTGTATTCGTAGGTAGGTGCATAGCTTAGTAGTGTGCACATTCCCCGTGTCCGTCACTTGCCCCCAGCGCAACCGCAGCCCTCCTTGTTGAGGAACAGCCCCGCCAAAAGGTAACCGCCCACAGCGACCAGTACCTACCTACCGGTACCTTAAAGCCGGTAGGTACATATACGTACAACAGACAGCACCAACCATGACACTACGACATCCCATCCCACTTTCCCATAAAGACGACACACGGACACACACCCACAATCAGTACTCTTCAGCAACGCAGCCCCCCCACCTACATACTTGCACCTTCATAACTTACACACTTCCCAAGGGGGGAAAAAAAAAAAAGGCCTTTTTTGTTCCTTTCTACGAGGCTATTCACAGACCGAATCGAAGAGTTACACACTGCAATTGACACCGCCCCAAAGACCTTCTCCCAATTATCAACCCTCTTAAACCATGGCCGACCAGACCCAGCCGGCAGCTCAGTCCCAGGCCAACCAGGGCAGCTGGGGAGCTTTCCTCAAGGTAACGCTTCTCTTCCTCCTCCTTCTCGCGTCCCTCTGCCCAAGTTGCTCCTCGTGCAGGTAGACCATATAGGCTGACCTCTACCCTCCCTCCAGTCCATCGCCTCCTTCAACGGCGACCTCTCCTCCCTGACGGCCCCGCCCTTTATCCTCTCGAGCACCTCCCTGACCGAGTTCTCCTCCTACTGGTGCGAGCACCCTTCCATCTTCGCCGCTCCCGCAAAGGAGACCGACCCCGCCAAGCGCGCCCTTCTCGTCACGAAATGGTTCATCACCACCCTCAAGCAGCAGTACGCCTCTCGCAGCGAGCAGTACGGCAACGAGAAGAAGCCCCTCAACCCCTTCCTCGGCGAGCTCTTCCTCGGCAAGTGGGAGGATGAGGCCGGCACCACTGAGCTCATCAGCGAGCAGGTCAGGTAAGGCACCCCCTCTTCCGTTAAAATACTCGTGTCCTTCCTTCTACCTCTACCTCTGCGTCCCCGATGGAAACGCTGACTTTTGTCGTGCTTGCGCAGCCACCATCCTCCCGCGACGGCATACTCCATCACCAACCTCGACTCGGGCGTCCACCTCGAGGGCTTCAATGCTCAAAAGGCCACCTTCAGCCGCACCATCAACATTAAGCAGATTGGCCATGCCGTTCTGACCCTCCCCTCCCCAGACGCTGGTAAGACCGAGAAGTACCTCATCACCCTCCCCGCCCTGCACATTGAGGGCCTCATCTTCGGCGCCCCTTTCATCGAGCTCGAAGGCACCTCTTTCATCACCTCGTCTACCGGCTTTACCTCTAAGATCGACTACTCGGGCAAGGGCTGGCTTTCGGGCAAGAAGAACAGCGTCACCGCCAGCATCTACCCCACCAACAAAGAGAAGGACGTCGCCTACAACATCACTGGAGTCTGGACAAAGTCGTTTGAGATCCACGAGGGCAGCCCCAAGCACAACTCGTCCAAGACACTACTCGAAACGTACGACGCCTCCGAGCACCCGACCTCGAAGCTCGTCGTTGCTCCCATCGACAAGCAGCACCCGCTCGAGTCGCGCCGCGCCTGGAAGGGCGTCGCTGACGGTATCGCCAAGGGCGACATGGACCTCGTCTCCCGCGAGAAGAGCGCCATTGAGAAGGCCCAGCGCGAGCTCCGTGCCAAGGAGAAGGCCGAGGGCCGCACTTGGGAGCGCAGGTACTTTACCGACCGCCAGGCCAATGGCGACGCTGCTCTCGAGTCTCTCGGCCCCAATGTCGGTCTGCCGGCCACCGGAGACGCCGACAAGACGGGCGGCCTCTGGCGGTACGACGCCGAGAAGGCGGACAGGGTCCGCAGCCAGCCCCCCCTCAACGAGGCCGACCAGGCCAAGATGGCCGAGGAGATTCTGGGACAGAAGTCAGTATGAGACGACGATGGCTTAATGACTGGGAAGGGTGTTGAGAGTAACGCACGCAGACGAATCCAATACAGCAGAGGTGAGGGACCATTATAAAACGGGCGCCAAGGCTGAGGAAGATTTGACTTGGAAAGGGACGGAGGGCGCGCGCGCAGAGCTAGAATGTTGGAGCATGGAGTTTGTTCACCACGAACACACGGTACGGTACTAAATAAACTATATAGCACGAGAGGTACGACTAATTGGAAGGGCGCACCTTACTTTTGGGTTTCAAAAGAATATTTTGTCATTTTTGGCTTGACAGCCCGCCGAAACCTCCATGTGAAGTCTGCAAGAGGACCAAGACCGTCTGTCCGTCGCCGGCGTTTCTCGGGTCCACCCTCTCCACTCCTCCCGGCTGCCGGCTGGGACCGCGTCGTCCGATCGGGGAGGGTCTCCGACGTAGGTAGTGGCGTCCGAGAGGTGACGCATCGGAGGGGGGAGCAAAAAATAAAAATAGAAAATGATGTGCATACGCATGCATGTGTCCGTCATGCAGACGCGACGGGCAGGGCCCGAGGGTCGGGCTGCACGGGGTGGGGAGGGGGTTAAAAATGGCACCCCAGCTGGGTGAGTTACTCTAGTTCCTTTAGAGAAGGGGGGATGGATGGGCTGATCTTTGATGGCTCATCTTTTTCTTCAATTCTTGTCAAGACAACCGCGTCCCTACCTATCCTCTCTCTTCCCTTCCCTCCCTCTCTCTGTGTCCCTCTATACTTGTACCGTTCTATGTACCACCGTGATTCTTTGCCATTCGCGGGCAAGTCTCCAAACCCTTCCCACCTCCCCCCCCCCCTTTACGCCAACGACAGCTTCGCTTCCTGCTCTACCTCCTTCCACCGAACCGGCCGCTTTTACTTTCGCCAGATGCTGATTGGGAAACCCTCCCGCCAGAGGAAGGGGGATAAGCCCGAAACATGCCAATGCTTGAATAACAGGGAAAGAAAAAGGGGGGGAAAAAGCCAAAAAATAAATAAACAAAAACAAAGACTGTTATTGTACGCCTAGCCGATGCATTTTTTGTGTTTCCTCGCTGCAGCTGTATATGCAAGCGAGTGGGGGTTTATGTTCACAACGACAGGTATCTTCCATCTCTGTCTCTTTCGCTCCTTCTTTCCTTCCCCACCCTTAAGGGCCAAGGATACCACTCGGTTCACCGCCACATAGTCATCTTCATCGAGGCGGTGGCCGTGTAGCATCGGAATGGCGCGAGCTCCGGCGGCAACGTCCCATTCTGAGAGGGGCCGTCGTCGCCAGCCTCGCTCTACGGGCTGCCCCCTCTCTCAAGCTCGTAGAACAGGAGGTAGACCTCGCGGCGCAGGTCGAGCACCTCGCTCGTCTTGGCCTCGCGGACCTTTTCGTCGCTGATGCGCCACCAGCGGTCGACGGGCTGCTTCTTGCGCGACCTGTGCGCGGGGGGCGGGGTGCCACGGCCATTGGCGTCGGGCCAGGCGGCGGGCTGCCCCCGGGCGTGCTGTTGCCGTTTACCTTGTGCGAGATCTTGGAGACGGTGCTCCTGGCCGAGGCAGTAAACGAGCGTACGGACCGGAAGCTCGCCGAGTCGGGCTCCCTCTGCCTGTCGCGTGGGGCCGAAGTCGGGCTGATGCGCTTCCGCGCGTAGTCTCTCGACGACAAGGCGTCCAAGGAGGAGACGGACGGGGTGGACGAGTTCGTTTCGGAGGTCGGGGTCAGGAGATCGGGCGTCGACAACGCGGGGCTGACGCCTCGCGCGATCGCGTCGAGCTGCGGCGTTGACGGCTGCGGCGTCGCGGCGGGGCTGGTCGTCTTGCTGTAGATGCCCGAGGGCTGGAACGTGTTCTGGTTCGGGTACGGGGCGTATGTGTTCTGGCGGCGGAACGACTCGTAGTGCCCGCTGTGGTGGCTCCCCTTATGCGTGACCAGCCCCAGCAGTTTGTAGTTGCGGCGGTCGCGCAGGCCGCCCAGGGGCAGGCGTTCGGGGAAGGCGACCTTGGCCGAGTTCTTGGTCGACGTCTGGTCATAGATGGAGCGCGAAAGGTGGACGGCCAGGATGCGCGGGAAGGATGTAAGGCGCGTCGACCGTGCAATCTTGCGCTTTGGCGCCTCGCTGATGTTGGGGAGGAGCACGTCCTCGGGGATGTGTTCTGGGTCGAAGTCAATCGCATGGCGCAGCTTGCGCACCGCTTCCTCGAGCGCCGCCTTCTCGCTTTCGCCCTGGGCCTTGGCCAGGTCCTGCTTGAGGGACTCTTCCGCCTGGATCAGCCGGCACTTCTCGCACTTGAAGTCGTCAATTATCTCCGTTTTGAATATTTCGTCAAAGCAAGAGCTGAGCGTCGTCGAGCTGACTTGGGGCACGTTCAGTGTCAGCATATAGAACGATTCCTCCCTTGGCTTCGTCTTGTAACCGCATGTCTGGCACTCTGACTGCGACTCGTATTTCCCCTCCATGGGGAAGCCCTCGTCATCCTGGAGCGGCTGGTGGACGCCGTCGACTTCGGGCTGGGGTTGCGTGGGCGTCGGCAGTGCGGAAGAAGACTCTTCGCCGCCCTGGCTGTCGGCCTTGTCGAGATCCTCCAGCCTTTGCTGGACCGCGTCACCGTTGACGTTGGAGCCGGCTGACGTGGCCCGCAAGGCTGCCGATTTCGCGTGGGCGCGGGCCCTTTCCCCGGCGTGGTACTCTTCCTTGAGGCGCTCGGCGACGATTTGCAGAAACTCCTGGGCGTCCTGCTGTTGGCGGCTGATGCGCTGGCGGAAGGCCGTCTCGAGCACCCTCACAAACTCAATGGCGGATATCGACTTCTTGTAGATTGGCCGCTCGTTCAACGAGTCGAGCATGTCCTTTAGGCCTTGGGTGACCAAGCCGCGCTGCATGCCCTCGATTTTCCAATCTGGGTAGGTTTTGCCGGGCGGCTGGACCAGCTGGGAGTAGACGCCCTCGTCGTCGATGTTCCGGCGGTGGGTCTCGCGGATCAGGTAGACGCGCAGCTCGCCCAGGCCGGCGAGGGCCTGCAGGGTCGAGTTGATGAAGCAGTCGTTGGCGGCATTGCGCAGGCCGACGACGCCCTTCCTGCGGGAAGACGAGGTGCTGGACTCGTCGATTGTGAAGGTGGGCGCAAAGACGTAGACGAGGGCAATGGCGGCGAGGGATGCGCCGGCGGCATAGGAAATGGTCGTGATGTTTTTGTCGGGCATGTCTGGGGATGGGGGGGTTTCGGGAGAGGAAGGCGGGCGAGGAGAGATTCGGGGTAGTGCGCCTAAGTGCGCGACAATCGGCAGGATGGGACGCCTGAAGAAGTGTCAGCCAGCCAGCGTGGGTTTCGTTGGACAAAAGCCGTGGTTTGTCCCATGGGAACGGTAGTGGTTGTGGTGTTGTTGTCTCGTTACACCCGTCTCGGGCGAGGCTCTCAGCTACGCAAGGCGGAAGTCAAAACTCACCTATGGTGTTGGGGAATAAGCAAGGAGCAAGCTCATAACCATGTGAAGACCGGGCCAGTAGAGGTGCAGAAATCCAACATTGTCTCTCCAAAGCGTACGTGATGGTGTCAATGGTTTGTCGGAGAAGAAGACCCCAAAAAGGGTATGGGCTGGGGGAAATTGCCAATAACGGTAAACGGGTGGAGGAGGGCGAGGAGGAGGAGGAGTAGGAGGAGGGAATGGCAGCGAAAGGTGAGGCGAAACTGGAGACTGCAAACTGGAAACTGGAGAGAGGTGGACTGGTCTGGGATGGACAGGGAAAGGATCTGTGATGGAACAGGACCCGCACCAGGGTGCTGGAATGGGGGGGTGCGTAGAGCAAAAAATGGGGTAAACTGGAGAACCACAATCCGGGTCGGTGAGTGGTTGTTCGCTATTAGTTGCTAGTGTCGGATGCCAGGTTTGCTGGGGAGATACTTGCAGATTGGAAAAGCATGAAAGATGGAGGAAATGAATGATGACCGTCCGGGTTCGGCGGAGATGTAAATGCGATGGGGCAGGCATGACATGACGCCTGGTGTGTTTCTTTTTTATTTTATTTTAATTTTTTTATTCTTATTCCTTGTCAGCTCAAGGAGCGCAGCAGCATCCGAGTGCCCCTCCGCCCGCCCTCCCCCCTTTCCACCATCTAAACGAGTCCGGATGAGATGAAGTTAGGTAACGGGAATAGGAGGAGAGGCCAGAGTGAGTCAGCAGTAATCAGGAAGCTGCTCGACTGAGCTGGACGAACTGGGCGGACTGAACCTGTCAGCCGGACATGGGCGACGAAAAGACCGCCCTCAAACGCTTAAATTACTAAGGAAAAACCTAGGCGTTCGTTTCCTTCGTGTTATCCGTCTTGACATGGTCAGAGTGCAAGAGACGACACTTGGACAGGTACGAACACGGACAGAATGGGCTGGACCATAGCCTGCCCATGCCAATCACTACACTAGGCTCGCTTCTTTCTCTGAATGATGGCACCCTCGTGGGCCAAGGACAGACACCACGGCGTGAATGAGCTGTCATTGGAACGGTTCCTCGGCGTCTTCTTCTTTTCTCCTCGTCCCGGACCGGCATCTGCAAACCCGCGCCTTGCTTGCAAGCCGCGTCCCTGTAGCCGGCGTCAAACGGGCTCCACCTCCAAACTCACCTCCTTTACCGTTCCTCTTTTACGAATACTGTCTTCTGCTGCTACGGCTGTTGCTGGTCGGGGCACACGGAGTGTTGCTCTTTTCCTTTTTTCGGAAAGACGTCCATTGGGCAGATGCTGAAGAAATCGCGCTCTCCATGCAACGTGTTCAGAGGGCGGTCCTGTCAGTGAGATGCGGCAACCCCGGCTACCCAAACTTTCCCGCGCTCCTTGATGCGACTTGCTACCTACTAGGTGACTAGGTAAGTAAGCTAGCAAATTACGTAATTCAGGTACAAGTGTGAAGCAAGGTACAGGTAGTGCACAAGTACGTGTCAAAAACCCCGGAATCACTTTCCCATAATACCTATTTGTGTCTCGCAGCGCCACTGCTTCTGACTCCCCGGCACCTCCCGCCCCACCCGCTCGGCCACCTCGGCCACCGTTGTTCCGGTATCCGTACTACGCGACAGGTACAGGTACGTATCGGCTATCTGGGTACGTACCTACCCATTGCCTACCTACCTAGGTAGGTACTATGTACTCCGTAGGTATTCGCACCATTACGCCTGCCAGTCATCTTCAGTCATCCATCACCCCGCGGTCACCAAGCTCACTATCACCATCACCATAGAGGCTCTCGGCTGTACTGACACTCGACATGGGACATCCGTCTGCATCTTCTACAGCGTATTCTGGAAGCCTGCCATTGGCCTTGCCGTCTGCCATGCTTCTGCGATCAACCGCACCCCGGAAACTACTGCAAGGCGACGCCCCATCATTCGCGACTAATGGCCAGCTTGTACGGAGTACACTGTCCGAGCCACCTGATTGGGAGAGGGGACGAGGGCCGAGGCACCGTGGGGGGTTTTTTGGAGAAGCAAATCACTCCAATGCAACCAACATCTTCCGACCTTGTGTCACTCCGTGGCCCTTAGGAGTCCCGACTCCCATGGTATTACCGACATACGGATACAATTGCCTTGGCTAGTTTAGCTGCCTGCCAATCATCGCACCGATTCTACACCAGCATTGCCGCCCATTCGTCTGCCGTCCGTCGTCTGCATCAGCAAAACACGCGTCGTCGTGGTTCGCGTTGCGTCATCTGGCGGCGCAGGATTCCTTTGCCCGGTTGCGCCGCTTCAAAGTAGCCGTGTCGACGGCCGCCTGAAGGCGACAGCTGAGGAGTCTTGCCGACTGATTCTGCAGAAACATGACCTAGTGGTTCAAACAACCAACCGGTTTCGGCGTCGCAGTGTACGCGTTAAGGAGGATCCCGATATCTTGGCAGCCTGTGGTCTTGTAACCCGACACAATCATCATGCATCTGCTGCTAACACACTCTGTTCGCCTGCATCACCCGGCGCGCCTATGATAGGTTGGCCTTCCCAGCTCCATATTGAGCCGTTCAGCGCAGCCGTCTTGACCCAGCCACAGCACACCTCATCCACTGCCTCGTCGCCGTAAAAGGACGTGGGGATGTGGTATTTTTCGACAACAATCAGCCCCTCGGGGTCGTGCTCTGCCCAACCCGCTGTCTGTACATCCGCCAAGTCGCTCTCCACGTCCGCCAAAACTACTTTGAGCCTGCGAGGTACCAGATGGTCGAACTTCTGCAGCACCCCGTTGTAGTCGTCCTTGATATTGGCTGTTCCCAGATCCAACGGTCGCACAAGCACGACCTGCTCCAGCGAGGCCGTATTGGCCGTGTCGTACCAGAAACAGTGGCTCCCTATGGGGGCCTTGAACAACACCACGCGCCGCAGCTTGGGCCAAAGGCTCCAGCAATTGACGGTGAAGGTCCGCGACATGAACGTCAGGGCCGGGTAGTCTCGCATGCATACGAGCTCCTCCAGCTTGGAAAGCCTCTGGAACCCGTCCGTCAGCGTCGGTCTCACGTCGAGGTGATCGTCGTACCCGGACAAACTCCCAAACGGCATGTCAACCACGAGTCTCTTGAGCGTGTCGCAGACCTCGCAGAAGAGCTCGCGTACCCACATTGCCGTGGGTTTGTCGTCCAGCGACTTCCCAAAGGGGCTGATGTAGAGAGACGTGATGCATTTGAGGGATAGCGTGGGCGGCAGGCTGCTGAGGGACGGAGACAGGAGGCTGAGCAGAAGCAGGCTCAGGCGTTTGGTCGAGTCGATGTGCATGCACCGCCTCCGGAGGAGGCGTGTGGAAAAGTCATACGTCGAGCGTGATACCAGTGTCAAGTTAACGAGCGCCCTCGTTGCGCTGTATGAGGCGGGCAAGATGGCAGTCTCATTCGGCGGGAGAAGGCTTTCGATGATGTGCAAGATGAGCTCCTGCGGGAGTCGCTGCCGCTCCGTCTGACAGGCCGACATCCCGGACGCCTGCCTATATGTGGTCGTAGTGAGATTGGAGATGTTTGGAAATCACAAGGGTTCGATACCTCGCGAGGTGAACTGACGAGAAGGAGACAAGAGAGTAGGATACGGGACGTCGAGCATCTGAGGGGATGGGACATCATGGCCATCCCAGGCGCCAGCTCGCTCGGTGAGGGGGCCCCGGGAAAACCCCGCTTCTCCCCCGCGTCGGCATCAATTCAAGCCACAATTTCTCGGCTTCGCCGAGGTGAGGTGAGACCCAGAGTTCACATCAATCACGCCTCATCGACATATTATTCTCACTTTTCTCATGGTATTCTCAAGACTCGGTCTATTGGTTTGTTCTAATTCAAGCTTGCGTCCCGTATGAACATGTAATCTTTCATATCGTCATTCAGCCTTGTCCCCCAGAAGCTGCGTCCGGTCTCCTCAACTCACTCGTCTCCGTCATGAAAGGGGCTTCTCCGCGACGATCGCCGCTGACTTGGGTTGCCATAAAGAGTACCTCCTCTGCATTGTCTGCGGTGCCGGCTCCTCCGTCGAGAGCTGCTCGTCCGGCACGCTCCGGGGGACCGAGCTGACGGTAGGCCCGCCCTGCCACAACGTCGCGCTTCCCCTCGTGATGCCTGCGTCAACGAGCTTCTGGGAAGTGAACTCGGGACTCGATGCCGCCGATGACTCAGACCGCTGGGGCTCCTCCACGCCTCCCTCCCCGGGCGTGTCGACTAGCGAGGGGGGCACGTTCGGGTCTCTGGTCACGACCGATTCCGTCCCTTCGGGCTCGAGGCTCACGACCATCCTTCCGCCGCGAATCTCGCCCCTCCGCATTCTATCGAGGCCGCGGTTGATGCCGTTAAATCCCTCCTCCACGCCGAGAAGTTCGGGGGCGCTGATGAGGCCATTCTCCAGCAGCCTCTCGAGCCAGGTGACCAGCGCCTCACCGACGGCGGGCACCTCGTGGAAGACCTTGATGGGGACGGTGTGATACACGACTGCCTCAGGCGCCTGTTCCTTCGGCAGGCCCGTCAAGCCGATGAGGTGCCTCCGCGTGGGTCCACTGTTGCGAGGGGTGTCTGGCGGACTGGGCGGCGCGCTGCCGGCGCTCTTCTCTGGCGCCAGTGCGCGCAAGAGCCAGCCGGCCGACTCCTTGCCACTGGTGTCAAGGGCGAAGCGCAGGTCCTTCCCGACGTTGGCCCGGATGATGTCGACCGCGCGCGACGGGTCGTGGCTGTCGACCAGCAGATCGGGCCGCAGGACCGTGTGGTTTGACAGCCGCAGGCCGTGCCGCAGCTTGTCCACGACAGTGACGACCTGCAGCCCGGCCAGTCGCGCGAGCTGCACGGCCAGGTTCGCTGACGTCGATGACCCGCCCCAGACGACGACCCAGTCGCCGGCCGTGGCCCGCTCGCTGTCCCGGATCCCGCTCAGGCACTCGGCGCGGATATCCTGCGGCAGGGCCTCGGCGGGGACTGGGCCGCGCAGTAGTTGGAGCAGGTCTGGCCCGCCCAGCACGCTGGAGAAGTCGACGCCCATGCAGACGCCGAGCGAGAGGACGGCGGCGACGAAGGCAACGCCCAGGGTGGCGGCGGCGCGGGGCGCGACGGCGCCGTCAATGCCGCGAGGGATTCGTGACGCGTTGAAGTCCGCCGTCACGACGTACTGCTGGTAGGCCGCCTTACGGAGGTCGCGGTAGTCGGTCGAGATGACGAGCACGCGGTCGCCTTCCCGGAGCCGGCTCCGCGACGACGGATGTCGGCGGACGACACGGCCGACGAGCTCGCGGCCCGAGATGTAGGGGAGGGTTGGGATCGCGAAGTTGAAGTCACTGCAGGTTTCGCACCGTTCTGTCAGCAAACATGCTTGGAGAAAGGGGTATGTGGTTTACGCCAATATTTATAGCGTGGAAGGGGGACATACGGCGCTTTCCAGTCGATCGGGTTGAGGCCGATGTGTTCCGTCTTCACCAGCACCTCCCGCTCATCTTGAATCTCAGGCACTTCGTACCCATCTATCGTCTCGTACGGCTGCTTGGCCGCGTGGAGGATGAGCACGGTCTGCGTCTGCGGTATCTCTGCCATGGCGTCCTTTGTTTTTGGTTCCTGTCTTCCTGTGCTCTACGGCCTCGTCTTTCTCATTGGTCGAATGAAAGAGTAAGACGAAGAGGTGAGTGTATCCCGGTGAGCGAAGGGGGGACGGGATGAACGTGGCTATCTTGTACGCAGGCGTTGGACGTCGCTCGGATATGGCGTCTCCTCGGGCAATACCTTTCCTTGCACTGCCGAAGTATGCAGAGTAGAGCAAGCTTGGGTCGAGTCGTAATAAAGAGAGTTTCGGTGATCTTGGGCGAAGCGTCCGAGTACACTGCGGGAGGGAAAAGAAGTTGGAGGGAATCCTCCAATCTCGCAAACAATGCAATCGTTGGACTTTTTCCTTATTTTAACCCTTTCTTCTATCCAAAGGTCCCTTACGTTTATTCCCCTTTTCTGCTGAAGAAGAGAAGAGACATTTTTCTCTTGCCCCGTTTAAACAAAATACCCCCTCTCTTTCCCGATATCCGGAGGGTTGTCGATCGGCTAGGCGTCTTTTTTTGGAGGGGGGAAGAATTACGTGCTCTTGCAGTCCCGCATTGCGTGATTCTTCCCCAAGATGGCTGCATCGCCATCGACCACACACAATCCGGCTAACCCCTTCCTCACTCCAAAAAACGCGACCTCCAAGAGCCAAGGTTCTTTGCTCCCCGATAAGAAGCCGAATGTCATTCGGGACCACTCCGACGAGCTCTGAGATATACATGGTCGGCTAACCTGGGGGGGGGGGGGGGGGGGTGCACCTTTACCAGTCTGGAGAGATTATCAGCCCTGAATCGTATGATAGGGGTCGCCATGCACTCAATACTAACACGCTCATGGTGATTTATTTCTTGTTCCCCTTTGACACGTTTGAAGTTCGCCAGCGGAAGGGACTACCTTCCACGCGCGCAGTTTTATTGCTTGCCCGCGAGCATTGTTCCCGCCCTCCTCCCTCTCTACCCACGACCCTCGACTGAAGCAGATTGCCGCGCACCGCACCCCCTCCCCGATCGATGCGGAAGAGGAAGGCCAATGCGGCCGAGTTGGGTCAACGACAGCCGGGTGGGAGGAGGGGAGGGGGGAGAGGGATAGAGAAGGATGCAACCACAACCAACACCCTTCCCTCCCTCTCCCAATACTCCACTACGCCTGTCACGACATGTCGCAAGATTGTTGCCAATCTTCGATAAGGGCCTTTCTCGCCGATGTAGGCCTGGCTTGCTGATTAATTCAGCAGCTCATGCTTTCGGTCTAATGCGTGTGTGTGCTTGCTTGTCGAGCTGACGTGATCGATGCTTCTGGTAGCGACAACGTAGGGGGGCGGTTGTCCCCTCCCCCCCCAAGAATCTCATGCCTGCCACAGATCGCGCAGGGAATCCTTGCAGGCGCAAAATGTCGGAAAATCTATTGTGTTTTCGTTCAATTAAGCTCTGTTGGCAATATGGATCGGCCCCATACAAATTTTCGCAGGTATCTGGGAGGGGGGGGGGGGGGGGGGGGGAATCTGATGGTGATCGTTCCAGTTTCGAGACCAGGAGCTGTGGGGGTCGGTTCTCAGTTGTTGAGAACTTGGTTCAAAAACAAATAGGGTTTGTTGTAAAGACTATGTTGTATACTCTTTTCTTTTTTATTGCTTTCTCTGGTAACTAGGCACTAGTCCACTTTTCAGGGCCCTGCTATTATCAACGGCGTGTCTACGTAGGGACGTGTCTGTATCTATGGAAACCCCTGATAGGATAGTCAAGTCAGTCGCAACGAGCAAGATGGTTTCGTGTATAATGCTCTGGTAAAAGGAGGACAGCCGATGGCCCGGAGAGAAACTCGGTAAAATCCACTCCCTTTGATGCCACACGAATGGTTATTATATATCTAGTGTCAAACTTTACTTGGCATTCTTTCGCCGCATAAGCAGAGCGAGTAGGCGTATGTCATGATTTCTTCAAGACACTGTTATCCACCATTCCAAACGGAGCCCAGCAACGAACTCTGCACTATTTCACCCACAAAGCGTCCCATAGCCCCTTAGAAACACCGTAAATAAATCTTCTAGCTTGCCTTCCTTTCCAGATAGCCATGTTGTTGGGAAGCGAAAAGAAGAGCGTACCGCAGTGGAGCGAAACTGACGCTTTCCACTAGACTAAACTGGGCTATCAAGGAGGATTACCCCACATCTTCCGATCTACAACTACAAGTGCACCAAAGCCAATAAATACCCCGGACTAATACCTCGACGGACTTGTCCATGATCTTATACTAATTCCTTTATAATCTTGTCGAAACCTTCCTTGCCTTTGGGATGCCAATTGGTACAGGTCCCCGAAATAGAATCGCTTATGTAAACCTGCCACTGCGGCCTCGCTATGCACGGATAACCCCGGAACCTTTAGAAAAAGGTATCTTGATTTTTTGAGCTTCCAACTTTGCCAAGTTTTTGGGGCGTGTCAATGCTTTGGGCCTGGTAACAAAACACCATGCCTCCACTTTCCCTGCAATGACGTACGAATATCAGCAAGTGGTGGGCAACCCTCACGACTTTGCAAGCAATCAGCAATTGAAGCAATCTCTGCCTGCATAGCGCACATCTCGATGAACTACGCGGACGGCGTCGACTCCACGAGCGAAGAGGTCCAGGTCGACCCGGACGGCGACCTCGTCCTCCGCGCCGGCCAGCAGACCGGGTTGCCCGAGCGGTCGTTCCGCGTCTGCGCCAACGCGCTGCGGCGCTCGTCGCAGGTCTGGAAGAAGATGCTCTTCGGCCCGTTCAAGGAGTCCAAGCCGGCCTTCGGCACCTGGCTCGTCCACCTGCCGGACGACGACCCCGACGCTCTGGAGATCGTCCTGAACATCATACACGCAAACTTCCCCCTGGTGCCCGCTACGCCCGGCCTGGCCGAGCTGTACGAGATCTTCCAGATGGCCAACAAGTACGACATGGTCCCGGCGCTCAAGCCGTGGGCCAACGCGTGGCTGGACGTCGCCGAGAGCTGCGCCGCCGTGACGGACGGCGAGAGCATGGCCGCGCTGACGTACGTCGCGTGGGAGCTGGGCCAGGTCGAGCTGCACAGGAAGATGATGAAGGAGCTGTTGCTGTACTCGTCCATCGACGGAGACGGCCGGATGGTCACCGCTGACGGCGTGGTGCTGGACGACTTTGACCCTATCGGTCCTCCGGGATTACTCGGTAAGCTTGGTGATCGGTTATCCGGTGATGAAAAGGAACAGAAGGGGAAAAGAGAAAAGCTCGGTATTGACAATCCTAACCCAGGTTTCCTGCGCAAGCAGCACCAAGAGGTCTTCAACGCGCTTCCGTCGCAGCTCAACGACGTGATCGCCGAGTTGACGACGGGACCGGGCTGCTGCGTCGACAAGAAAGCGTCCTCCGACGAGAGGGCCGATTGCAACGACATCATCCTCGGCAGCCTCGTCAGGGGCATGGCGAAGACGAGAGGTTCCATTTCCCTGACAATGTCGGGGCGCGAGGGCGAGAGCGTGGCGATGTTCGCCGGCACAATCAGAGCCATCGCCGAGGGCATCTCGACCCACGAAGAGCACGGCGCCAAATGTAACCCGGCGCCGAGGATCGTCGCCGCGCTCAACAGGTTTACGCGCGGCCGGGTTGTGAAGTTGACCAAGATAAGCGTGGGAAAGATGGAAGCGAGACGGGAAGAGCTGGGGTTGGACAAGCCACGTTCACACAAGGCAAGCGAATAGAATGCCGTTACTAATAGCGAAAACTTCACTGGTACGGATTTTGTATAGAAAAGATTAAAGTGTAAGATATCATATTTCAGGAGTATCCAAAGTAACTAGCTTAATAAATCAGCCAAAGCAATCCATCGTCTAGCTCATGATGCCCTTCTTGCCGTCACCATCGGCGTCCTTGAAGGGGTTCAACTTGTCAACAAGGGAAACCTTCTTGCCCGTCGCGTCGTGCTGATCGGTGCTGGTGGTGGTGGAACCGAAACGGGGCTACACCATGGTCAGCTTGAAACGTACGTTTTCGAGAGCGTTCAATAATTCACTTACATCGGATTCGTTCAAGGAGGAAGCACCGCTGGCAGCGGTGCCGGTGGTGTAGGCGGGATCATTCTGAACGCCAGTCGGGTGAGTTCCATGTCTGATTGCCTGGGCGGTACTGACGTGTTTGGAATCATCACCTACAGTGTGGCGAGCGTTGGCAGCCTGGGCTGCAGCAAGACTGTCCGAACCCTTGTGGCCATGGTTGTGGTCGTGGGTTCCGGCTACACCGGCGTGTTCGGACTTCGCAAAGCCCTTGTCCATCTTGTCGGGGCACCCGTCGAACTCACCGACCTTGTGGTGTCCATGTCCATCAAGGCCGCCCTTCTCACGATTGAACTCCTCGAGAGTCTTGGTCGGGAGAGTAGTGGCTTCGTGGTGGACGGGCTTGGCGTGATGTGTCTCGTGGATCGGCACAGTCGTGTGTACAACGTGAGGCTGAACGACTTCCTTTTGGATGACGGGCTGGATATGCTCGTGAACGTGGTGGTGAACGCGTTCTCCAGTCACCACGGGTGCTGCGCTGGAAGTATGGGTAGTGTCGTGAGTGACTGAAGTGTCCTTGAACTTGGCGTGCTCGCGGTCAAGAGTGTGCTTAGTCTCCTTGCTGTCTCCGTGGTCGAATGACTTGTGTGCAATAGGAGCGACGTTGTGGTGGTGCTTCTCAGGGCTGTGGTGCGAAGTCAGTTAACCGGCCTAGATTGATGGAGGACTCTTGTAACTTACAGAACTTGTTTGTCCTGGATAGGTTGGATTTTGGTGTGGTGATGGTCTTGGTGAACCTCCTTGTCAACAGCAGTGGTGACCTCCTCGTGGCGGTGAGGGCGGACATGCTCTTCAGTCACGGCGTTGTTGGCATCTTGATGGACGGTTGTCTTGTGATGTCCGTCCTTGGACACAAATCCTTCAACGGCTTGCTTTGCTTTGTCCATAGTTTCTGGTTTAGATAGGGTGTTCGCTGTGGGTATATGTTGTGGTTATAGCTGAAAGTTGTGGTTGTTATGTTACTGTAAATTGAGAGTGATATAGAGGAGTTGCCTATTGACGAAGATGGACCACCCCAGGTTTATATAACTCAACGGTGTTCAATGTTTCAACATTTAGCAAGCGGGTGGTGCGTCACTTGCAACCATTCAACGTCATTCAGCATTGTATATCAAGCCGTACCGCCGCTACTGAGGCCCGTGGCTTCAGCCAATTCTATTCTCATTCCTCTGGCCAGTGTCCAACTGAAGGCTGGCGGGTTCGATGCAGCACGCACGTCATTGCCGGATCACGATGATGTCCGACTGAGGCGCATTGACCTCATGCTGTGTAACGATAGTGTTGAAGCGTCGAACCGCTCAGCTGGGTATGGGTTTCAAAACCAAGCTACAGGTGTGCCGCTGACGACGTCGCAATGCAAATGAGCGTGCTTGGCGCGGCGCCTGCATGTGGAACATCTGAGATGAATCGGGGACTTGAGAAATGTGGCTTGAGGCTTTCTGGCCTGGTCCGTTGGTTCCCGCCGACGGAAAGAGAGCTTGTTCGCTGCTTAAAGTGTTCCTACGGCCGTGGCGTCGAGACTAGCTCCAGATGAAAGCGTCATAATTAAGGGATCGCGGCTGCAAACCACATCGTCGGAAACGGAGAGCAACGACCCCAATCCTCAACGGCAATCGCGGGGAATTATTTGTCACTAGTTTGAGACAAACAACAAAGTGACAGCCTGGCTGAGATTGTCCTTGGCATCTTTGCGGGTTCTTTTGATCCGGGATGATCGGTTTGAATCAAATCCGCCGTCCCGCCCATTCGATGATATGTTGATTGCGACAGCTTTCCTTATGCCAATGCTCTCCAGCAGCGATCTCCAGAGAACCAGGAGGATGGCCAGCAATGCACTCTGTGGCAAGCTCTTACTTGATCGATCGTTCGTGCGTTCACCATTGTGATTTAAGCCTGCGTACCGACGCTCAATCAGTAGCATACCGGTATGTTCCAGATCACCGCCAGACTTTCGATGACGTGTAGTGCTCCTATCAGCTTTGTGCTGGTATTTGAATTTCGCCCCAGAGTCCGTGGTCTCGGCCCTCGGGCACTCCGACGCCCGTCTGCAGCTTTGGCGCCGCTGTCGCAGTGACTCTAGGCTTCTGTTGGCAGGATAATTTGTGTATTATCGATGCTACTGGCAACTCACCGATGTCACCTGTTGATGCCTCGAACCATAATGGTAAAGGTGTCCCCCAGTTGGTGAAGCCATGTGTCTCACTCCAAACTGAGACGGCACTTCGTATGAAGCAGTAGAATTGTTGCTTCCCCTTAACAGAACATAAATTTCAATAGCTGTCCCAATCACTAAAAGCTTTTACGCCACAGTACACATACCTATCCATCCAACTTTGTTAGGCCCACCCATTTTCAGCTTAGCGCCTATCAGTACACGGTAATCGTAGCAAAAGTCTTAGACATAAATGGATAGTTGAAGTCAAGTATTTGCATAGCTGAGGTTTGCGCTGGCTCGGACGACGGTCAGTTCTGTTCAGGAAATGTATGTTTTTGGGATGAGGTCTGTATCAAGGGGTTATATTGTGTTTATTTGAATTCGTTGGAGTATTATTACCTGTGCGACCTTAAAATCGACCGTCTGCCTTGGCTACGTACCTTAGTCTGTATTAAGAGGATTGCTTAAGGGTGGAACTGTTTTGTCTTTAGGAAAAGGTTAAAAGGTGAGGTAGAGGATAATGAAACGCATCATGGTCTGTACGATATACACACACACATAAGTGTAAGCCGAATCTCAAAGGTATCCTGTACGCAGCACGTTAGTACCCTAAACATTAATTTGTGTTTGTAGCAAAGCGCGTATTGTAGGGAATATGCTTGAGAGTGAAGTAGTCGCTGTTTTGACACTAATTGCAAATATAAAAATGTATAGTAAGCTGGTATTAACTGTCTTTGTCCTATAATAAACAAATGGCATGAAATGTTAAAGCTGCTCGGATTTGGGTTATGGGCCGGTCTCTCTAAGGCTGAAATTTTACATTGGTAGAACACAAGAACTTAAGGAAAGCAACTAACTATTATATAATTGCTGTTCTATAAAATGTGTGGCCGAGTAAATTGGTAATTTGTCTGTTATTGAATTGTTCTTTTTGTATTGAGGCAACTGCTAGTATTTGTTTTATTACATTATATTAGCTTATGGCTGTACAGAAATAATTAACAAAGAGTATATTGGTTTTCCGCTGCGGGTTTTGTGAAATGTGGGCTTGGTTACTATCTATGGTGTACTAGAGGTCAAAGAATTGAAGAGCTTTCTCAAGGACTCCTGAGAGAAGCAGCCTGAGAAACGTTTGTTATTTTACCTTGAAAGGATTGGTTGAAGCACTTGAGAAAGACCGTTATTAAACAACAACTGGCTAAATAACATTTATATAAACATTGTCTGTTTTTTGATACAACAATAAAGCCAGTAATTAAGTCAAAGCACCTACTTATAGCCCCTCTACCTATATGGCCTACCTTAAGAACAATGCTATTATGACACTACTACTGTTGGAATATTAATACTGATGATTATACGACACCTAGTTAGTCAACCATGAATAGTTCATGATTTAAGGTCAAAGGGCACAGACTAGTTATTTAGCCCTCAGTTATATCAAGAGGGGATCATACTTTTTGTTAGCTAGAATAACTTAAGTTATACTTAAGCAGTATATAACTACTTTATATAACAACAGTAGAGTAGACCTATTAAGTTACCTAATAAGAAGTTAATTTACCCCTATATTTTACTAAGTATATATATATATAAAGCCTATTTAATACTAATTAGTAGTTATATAGTAATTATAGATTAGTAAAAGTAAAAAGTTAAGCTATATTATATAAAGAGTTAGTTTATATAGTGTCTAACTATAGAAGGGCTAAAGAACTACTTTTTATTATAACCCTTTGTACTAAGATAAGTTATAATTTATATAAAGATCTAGTTTATATAGTGCTTAACTACAGGAGGGCTAAAGAACTACTCTTTAGGATAACTACTTATACTACTTTCCCCTATGTATAATAGAACAGGGAAGACTATACCCTTCTTATATATATATAAGAAGTAAGTAGTATACTACTATAAGTATATTACCTTTATTAACTAGACATTATATAATTTAAAATAACTACTAATATATTAATATAGAACACCTAGAGCTAAGAAGAAGAACCTACCTAAGAAGAATATATCTTTATATATAAAGATATATTAAAGGGTAATAGTATTATAATTATAACCTAGAGATCTTAAATACTACCTTAATACTAGACTAAATATTAGGACCTTACTAATAACTTATCTTAGAAAAAGATTATAATATATCTAGTGTATAAGATATACTAGATTATCTATATAAATCTAGACTAACACTAACTTAAGGGAATAATTATAATTAACTTTAAGGACTAGATAACTAACTACTAGAAGTATATATATTATATATACTTTAAGGACTAGATAACTAACTACTAGAAGTATATATATTATATATACTTTAAGAAGTTTATTAGGTAAATTATAAAAAGAGGTATCTTTATTAACACTAAGATAAAGCCTAAAAATAAGTAAGTAGTTAACCTTATATAATAACTCTAAGAGTAATATTAGAAAAAGTCTAGTAGTTATATAATAAATATACTAATAACTACTATTAAAGATCCTTAAGCTACTATATAATAAGACCTAGCTAAGACACTAATAAAGTTAATTAAACTCTAGAATACACTAGTAGCTTAAGGGACTAGAAAGCCTATTATATAAATAACCTTATATAGAGTATAACTTACCTAAGAGGTAGAAAGTTTCCTAAGATCTTAAAGCTAAACTATACTTATACCTTAGAAAGATATCTATAACCTTCTACTAAAGTAAATAATTAATAATAGACTATATAAACCTTATATAATCTCTGTCTTCTAAAAAGGCTAAAGAAAAAAGAAAAACTATATAGGAAAGCTATATAATATACTTTATAATAAGGCTAAAGTATTTATTAGTTTTTACTACTATCTCTAGATTATAAAAGACTAATACTATACTGTTTTTCTAGATATCTTATTTAATTATATAGAGGAGTTTTATTTTTATTATATTAGACCTATATAAAGGTAAAATAAGATATATACTATACTAAATATATACTTTAATACTAGCGTTAACTATAGTCTTTATTAGACTAATTAGACTACTATATCCTTTATATAAGTTAAATAAAAGAATCTAGATAAGACACTAATAAAAGTACTAGAAGTATTACTAGACAAGTTACCTCTTATATAATAAGCACTTAGTTTAGGTTTCTAAGGGGAAATTATACTTTATATATAAGTTACCTAGGCTTACTAAGGTATTCTAGAGCTAAAGACTACTTTTAGTAATCTTAAGGTATACTATTTATATAAAGAGTTCTTCTCTAATCTTAGGGCTTCTCTATAGGTTACCTTAGACAAAGGACTATATTATATAATATTAACTTTATAGACTAAAGGTATACTTTAAACTATAAAGATAAACTATAATAAAGACCTTTATATAATTAACTACCTTACTAATCTTTAATAAAAGAAAGAATAGACTATTTTAACTAAGACCTTTTTATATAAATATACCTAAGAAGTGTTTTATATATAAAAAGAAGAATACTAGTTAACTAACTATATAGAGAAAGAATATAATTATATAAAGACTTAATACCTTTAGGTATATAATATACTTACCTAGGACCTATATAAAGACTTTATAGCTTATCTCCTTAAAGTAAAGAGAGAAAGCCTTATAAAAGAAAAAAGGAAAATAATAACTTATATAATAAAAATAATTCTTAGATAACTAAGAAGTCTCTTAGTATTTACTAACTTTAGCTTTCTTTTATTATATAACTAGTAAAGATATATTCTTAGCTTTAAAGACTATTAAAGTAAGTTAATTCTTACTTAAGGACCCTTATTATATAATATACTAGGGAGAACTATAGGATACTAGAGTAGCTAAGTTTTTAACTATAAGAAAGCCCTAGGTACTAGTGTACTTAAGAGAGAACCTATATACAAAGATCTCTTAGAACCTAGGTTCTACCTATATATAATTTAGAGTAAATAACTTTATAACGTTAATAAGAACTATAAGATAAAGAACTAGCTAAGAATAGT